GTTAATATATGAAAATTAATTAATTAATAAAAAGAAATATTGTTCAGGTACCAGTGGCTTCTAACTATCTACTCAGAAAGCTGAAATCCAGAGAATTGTGATTATAAACCAAGTTAGGCTAAAAAGTCCTTAAGATTCAAATACCAACAATGCAAGCATAAAATAGTCTGAAATGCATGGCTCAAGCGGGAAAATACCGGCCTAGCAAGTTTGAGGACCTGATTTCAAACCAAGCACTACTAAATTTGGAGGAAATGTTTTCAGGAATCTGATATTTATATATAGATGTATAGATATATATATGGAAATAACAATGACAGAATGTTCACCAATTTATAAAAACTAGTTCCTAGGATATTTATATACACTACTAAAAGTATAATTTCCACCTTTGGGCTTATCTTCAACCTGATAATTAGCTCTCTTGTTAAAACAGAAATTTTTTTTTCCCCTCCCTTCAGAATTCTCTTCACATGAGCATCACACAGTTTAATTCACTAACACAGAGGGAAAGCCTTTGCTAGTTCTTGTTTCTAACATGCTTTGTCCACTTGGCAACTACCAGAATAGCTCAAGTCTATGCTGTCAATGGTAGGAAACTGAAGGGCAATATTTGGAAGAGAAAAGTTGTTCATATTCTTAGCTGGGAAAGAACCAAATAGGCACTGCTCACATCCAGACACCAGTTCCCACACCTGCACTGCATTGGGTTCTTTGCTGTCTTAGAGAGGTGGGTCCACATGCACCTCACCTCCACCTTCTGCCCCAACAAACAGATCCTCTAGCTGCCCATGGGGGCAGGCATCATCAAATGATCCTTACTAGATTCTTCCCATTGCAAAAATTATTTGATGCAACTAAGATGCTTTCTTCCATGCCCCTTAAGTCTTTCCATATTGCTGCACCCAGCATACAATTTGCATAGTGCTCCCTAGGGAGGAGCCTCCTTGCTAAGGCTAAGATAAAAGCTGGGCTCTCATGCTAAGTTGACTGATCAGGACTCCAAACTTCAGTTTCTCAAGATGAGATGCCCTGCTCAGCTCCTGGGGATGCTGATGCTCTGGATCCCTGGTAAGGGCACAGAGAGATAAAGGAGAGGAGGAAGAAGATAGGGTGTTCAGATGGGGTTTGGTGCACCACTGCTGCTGTTGTGTGTTCTGTCCACATGTGAGGTGTGTGGTTCTTATACTTCAGAATAGCAGCTGTTTAGAGCTGTTTAGAGCTCTGAGGGGGAGGAAGAATCCAGGGCATCAGGATCTAGATTCTGTTAAAATTGTTCTATAGGGTGAAAAGGTAAGGACGACACCCTCTGGGTACATATCTTGAAACTGAATATTTATATTTCAAATCAAAATGCAAATAATAATTCAGTACAATGGAGGAAAATTATGGAACCAGCTAAAAATTTTTATGCAACTCCGCACTTAACTTTCATGTTTCTAGGATCCAGTGCAGACATCATGATGACACAGACTCCACCCTCCCTGATAGTTGCCCCTGAAGAGCCAGCCTCTATCTCCTGCAAGTCCAGTGAAAGCCTCCTGTATAGCGATGGAAACACATACTTGCACTGGTACCTGTAGAAGCCAGGCCAGTCTCCACAACTCCTGATCTATAAGGTTTCCAACCGATTTACTGGGGTCCCAGACAGGTTCAGTGGCAGTGGGTCAGGCACAGATTTCACACTGACAATCAGCAGGGTGAAGCCTGAGGATGCGGGGGTTTATTACTGCATGCAAGGAACAAAACTCCCTACCACTGTGCTACAGCCCAGAGCAAAAACCTCCCTGCATGGGGCAGCCCAGCTGTGCCCATGTGCTGTTTGTCTGGGGACCAGCAGAGCAGATGCTCTGAGTCTGTGTGCAAGGACAAGGTTGGGGAACTCAGAGCCACAAACTGCATCTGAGGTCTCTGTTCAACAGGGGCCTTGGCTACACTCCACCAAACTCCACTGGGTCAGCTGCAATAGACTCCACATAGTATTTGTCACAGAAAACTACAGATGCCCTACGTCACTTCTGGGTAAATATAAAAGACTAACGCAAGGAAGTTTCCAGAAAGATTGAAGACTTGTTTTTTTCAGAATTTCCCAAAGACTTAGGAAGGTGGTATCATTGATTTCTAGAAGGGATATCATGCCTTGCCAATTCTGTTCCTTTTCATACTGAGATATAAACTAAATCAAAAACACGAAATATGACTTATTGAGTAAAAGGAAAAAAGGAAAAATCATGAAAATGACTTATAATGATTGCATATAATCTTTTAGTTCTCCTTATTACAGGATCCAGTGAGGATCGTGTGATGCTGCAGACTCTGCTCTTCTGATCCATCTCCCCTAGAGAGCTGGCCTATATCTCAAAAGAATGCCAGAGGACCTCCCATAGTGGCTCATACCTGTAATCCCTGTGACTCATGAGGCTGAGATTCAGATTACAGTTCAATCCCTATACAGTAAAAAGTTTTGCAAGACTCTATTTTAGCAATCAAGCTGGTATGAAGACACACATCTGTAGTTCCAGGTATGCAGGAGGCTGTAGGTAAGAGGATCATTGCCAATTCTGAGAAAAAAAAAAGACTTTACCTAAAATATAACTAAAACAAAAAGGGAGTTGGGGTAGCATGGCTCAAGTGGTAGAGTGTCTGCAAGGAGAAGGCCCTTGTTCAAACCTGTCAGAGAGGGGAATAAACAACAGAAGTGAAGTCATCTCTTCTGGGTGGCACTGGCCATCACTGCACATTGCATGGGACATGGTTGCCAATATGAATGCTTCTCAATCTTCACTGACTCAATGATTCCTAAAGACGCTGGGCACAGTCATCAAGTCCTATCACATGTCACCAATCCATCATGAGTGCTTAAGCAGGTTGGCAACAGGACCCTCGTTATGTACTGTGTATGGAGTGGGAGAGAAGGGCATAGAAGACAGGCCTTAGACCCCTGATGTTGAGGAGTACCGCAGAAGACAGCTCAACTCTGAGAAGGTCAGCAGGAAACAAAACATAGTGCCAGAAGTTAATCCAAGGCTTAGGACCAGGCACATAAAATGGCATCAGTCCTTGTCACAGGGAAAGGACCTGAGAGAATAAAGAGAAGAAAGGAAATACTCTTTGCAAAACAATGTAAAACAAATCACAGTTTCCACTGTTATATAAAAGAAAGAATAAGGAGAGCTGTGCTGATGGAAAGGTTATATTTTCTCATCTAGAAAGGAAGGTAATAAGACATGCACATTGGAATGTATAAATTAATAGGTACAGGTAAACTAAAACTGGCTGCACAGACAAATATGGAGAATATCTTATAAGATTTAAGATGTTTATGTGGCCAAGTGGGGTTACTTGGGCCTCTAATCCTAGTCTTTGGAGATGGAGAGCAGGAGAATCCTAGGCAAGAGTTCATTCTCTATCCTCACTAGCACTTGATGTTGCTGTCTTTCTTGGTGGTGGATATTCTGAGTAACTGAGTAGCCATGGCTGCTATGAGACAGAGACCTCAACTACAACTTGATGTCTGAGATCTCCAACCTTGTTGTTACTCATAGGCTCAGAGCATCTGCCCTGCTGGACCCCAGACAAGCCACACATGGGGACAGCTGGGCCCCTCCACTGAGGGAGGTTTTTGCTCTGGGCTGTACCACACAGGTAAGTTATTGTGGACCTTGGAAGCAGCAGTAAACTCCAGCATCCTCAGCAGGGTGGACATGATTTCCAGAGTGAAATCTGTGCCTGACCTGTGTGGGATTCAAGAGTCCTTTGGGAAGTCTTATAAATAATTTGCCATAGAGCCTGGCCTGACCTCATATGAAATTCAGTCATTTGCAGAGAAATGAGCAGATCTGGGTCCTTCATAGTAAACAAAGCAAGCCATATTCAGAAGGACAGTCATATGCTTTCTGTCATTTGTGCTTGCTAAACCTAAAAGATAACTATGCATGTAAACACACAAAAAAATATGGGACATGCATGACATGTTTGTAATTTATGAACATATGTAATAAATGTATGTGGAAGTGTGGGATTGTAGGCGAGGATTGAAAGAAGAAAAGAGGAATTTAAAGGATGAACAGTATCTAAACCCATTGTATCTGGAACATGGGGTGCAGGAAAGGAGAGACTAACTAGGAATATGCATTCTCTGTTTGAGCTTTTGAAACAAGGGATCAGGGGCTTAATATTGGAATGGAAATTAATTCAGAAAATAATTGGAGTTAATACTGAAAAACAGAAGAGACCAGAAAAGTAAGTAATAGGATCAAAATGGAAGCATCCAGAATTAAAGAGGGTCAGGGAGACAAGAAGAATTGACCTATCCAGACACACTAAAGACACTAACGCCAGTAATTCCGCCTATAATCCTAGCTACTCCGAAGGTAGTGATCTGAGCATTGCAGTTCAAACCCGGCCAGCCTGGGCAGGAAATTCCATGAGACTCTTATCTTCAATAACCACCAAAAAGTGAGGATATGACTCAAGGGGAAAACACCATCTTTGAGGTAAAAAATGAAAAAGCTCAGGAATACTGCCCAGGCCTGTGTTCAAATTCAAGGAACATCATACACATAAAGAAAGAAATGTAACAAAAGGAAAGAAGAAGGAAGGAAGGAAAGAAGGAGGAAACAAGGAAAGAAAAAGATCTCTCTCTAAGCAACAACAAAGACAAATAACCCCAAAACACACAACACACACCACAAAAACATAAAAAAAGAAACAAAAAACACAAAAAAAAAAAAAAGGGAAGAAAAGAAGGAAGGAAGGAAGGAAGGAAGGAAGGAAGGAAGGAAGGAAGGAAGGAAGGAAGGAAGGAAGGAAGGAAGGAAGGAAGAGAGAGAGAGAGAGAGAGAGAGAGAGAGGGAGGGAGGGATGGAGGGAGGCAGGGATCACCTCAGTGTGTCCATAGTACTGTGTGCACAGTCACTTGGAGGCTGAACAGAGCACTGACAGGGGTGTTGTTCAGACAGTATGGCCTAATGACCCATGGCTAGGGAGGAGGTTTGTGATCAAGGCTGAAGCCCTATGGGAGGGTAGTTATAATACTGTTGACAGTAATAATCTGCCACATCATCAGCCTGCATGTTGCTGATAGTGAGAGTAGTCTGCCCCAGACCCACTGCAAATGAATCCCTCAGGGATACCAGATGGACGAGTGGATGCACCATAAATAAGCTGTTCAGGAGCCTGCCCTGCTTTCTGCTGGTACCAGACTATGTGGTTGTTCACATTCTGACTGGACTTGCAGTTCATAGTGGCCCTTTCCCCTACTGACACAGCCAGAGAGCGTGGAGACTGTGTCATTATGATGTCCCCATGGACACCTACATTCACAAATGTACCATGGTCCTTCATACATGCACACACATTCAAATCTCATCATGTACACATTGAAACACACCACTAAAATGCACCTTCTAATTGTATTATAAGTCAGTATGTTATTGTTTCCATACTGGAGATTGCCATTTCTTATTACATTTTTTTCATTTAGTATTGTAATTATAAAGGTGATTACAGAGGGGTAACAGTTACATAAATCAGATAACAGGTACATTTCTTTTTGGACAATGTCACTGCATCCCTCAATCTTTCCCAGTATTTTCCTCTCATCCCCCACCCACAAGTTGAATAGTTCCACATATTATCTCATGAGTATCACTGCTGCATTTGTTTACACTTTGTCCCTCCATTTCTGTGTCCCCCTTTACCCTCCCAAAGACAGATAAACAAACAAGAAAAAAGAACAGAAACAAGAACAAAGAAAATCTTCTCGCTTCCATTCAAGACATTTTTCAGTTCTACAAAAGGTACTAAATGCATCACAGCAGATAAGTTCTCACCAGACACCCAGAGAAGCAGGGGGATGAGGACCTGGCTTCTCAAGCTCATCTTCTTGCTCCTGCCTGCCTGATGCAGCTCCCTGCTCATGGCAAAGTCTCACATATAAAACCTGCACAGCTGAAACAAGCCTCCAGGGGCCCATGCAAAACAGTCAGGAAGTAAGGAAGCAACTGTGTGGGCAGTGGGCTGTGAACATACCTGATGCAGGATCCCAACGATACCAACACAGACAGTGTAACTGTGTGACTAGAAAACACACAGACACCAATTTAGAGTTATGAGAGTAACTTAAAAGCTTTTTTAACCTAGTCTTCTAGATGGATTAGTGAGAAGCCACTCAGAGAATTTGAAATGGATTCAATATTCCAAAATCACTCTATATCCTAATTGCTAAATTCCTCAGATAAAAATCTTAATAAAAACAAATCATGCTGGAAAAAATAAAACAAGGAGGAAGGAAGGAAGTAGGGTGGCAGTAGGGAGTAAAGAAATAAAAAGGAAAGAGGAAAAGAAAGAAAGAAGGGAGAAAAGGCAAAAGAGAGACAGAGAAAGAAAGACAGAAAGACAGGAAGGAGAGAGACAGAAAGAGAATGAGAGAAAGAGAATGAGAGAGAGAAAGAAAGGAAGAAAGAAAGAAAGAAAGAAAGAAAGAAAGAAAGAAAGAAAGAAAGAAAGAAAGAAAGAAAGAAAGAAAGAAAGAAAGAAAGAAAGAAAGAGAAATAAAGAAAGAGACAAGAGGGAGAGAAGAAGGAAAGAAGGAAGGAAGGAAGGAAGGAAGGAAGGAAGGAAGGAAGGAAGGAAGGAAGGAAGGAAGGAAGGAAGGAAGGAAGGAAGGAAGGAAAAAAAGAAAATTAGCAGCACCTGAGGGGCTCTTGTTTGGCAGATGTCACAAATACAACATTATTGTACTCTGACTGAATCCTTAAGAAAATTTGGGACACAGGCCCCATTCCTGGACCCTGTGGTCAAATCCTTGTCTAGAATGATGCAAGAGAAAGATACATTGGTGTTAAGCTATGATATTTGAGGAAATGATATGATTTATCACAACCTCAAACATGAATGCACAAGACAAAAGTTGAGTGCAAGGAGTGAAAAGTGTATGTGGTTTTTTTTTTTTCATTTCCCATGATATCCCTGTCTTGTCAGTTACAATGAGATACGTTAAAATTTCCACTGCATAATGAAAATATAAATTTAAAACACTTGGAAAATCACTTCAGGGTTGAACATCATTTCCCCATTTGTTTGCAGTCTCCCATCACCCTCTTGCATGCAAACAGCCAACTGGAACCTCCAAAACCATGAGCCAAAATAGACCTTTTTAACTCTTCATAAATGGTGTTAGTCACTGTAACAGAAATCCAACAAGCATGAGAACAAGTATAACTGTACTTCTCTGCTTCTCTTTCTGTTTCTTTTTATTTATTTTATCTTCTTGAAGGTGTTGTATAAGGGAGTTTCAATTTAACATGTCAGATTAACAGTGCATTTTGAACAATGTCTCCCATTTCATCATTGTCCCCATCTCTCTCCACTCATGCACTCCATTTACCTAGTTCCAATTCTGTTCTTTTTTCCAATATATTTCTCACAAATTTCTTTTATATTTACAACTGCTGGGGCTGGTTTCTGTGACTTGTGACAAGATCCCTGACTCACACAACATCCACATGCAAGGAAATACAATTTGGTGATCAAGATACTCCTGACAACACTGGATAAGAAATGTACTCATTATTTTACTCATGAAACTCTAATTAAAATTGAAAAGAAAAACAGATATTCCTGAATCCACTACCATAACTACCATGGCAAGGACACAGGACTCAGAGATTTAACTCACAGCAATGAATGGAAATCCACCAATAAATATATGGATAATTCTTCATGATGACTCTCCAGTATCTATTAGGTTCATGCTCGCTTGGTCCTTTAACTTCTGCATGCAAAAGAAAATCTACTAGTTCAAGAGTTATACAGTGTTGTCATCAACTCAACCCTACCCTCATGATATGTGGAAACTCCAGTAGGAAAACAAGTTACTTAATTCTGGAAATCTTAAAGGGCCATGACTACCTCTAAAATGTAGGGTAGGAAGACAAGGAGTGAAGATTTCATCACAGGGACACCATATAATTATCAAATAATTTAGGGACTGTGAAAACCTTTAATGTGTCTATGTGTGTCCCGTTTGAATATATATATATATATATATATATGTACATATATATGACCCATTTTAACTTCCCTTGAAAAGCATAGCCACATTAAAATACATCTGCCTACTCAGGCTTTTAACCCCTCGATGACTGTGCTGAAAGATAGTCAGAGCTCATCATGCTTTGAAAGTAGAACAAATACAGTTATCTACTGGCATATTACAGATGAAGTGGTTAAAGAAAAAATTCAAAGATGACCACTGCATGTGTGAACTTGGAAAACACAGAATTTAGAATGATGTTTACTGGGAAAGGGAAGCCAACAGAAAACAAATTTGGAGGACAGATGAGAATCTGGCCTTTAATTAGAATTTTGAGACCTCCAACTGAAAATATACCTTAAGTGTCTGTGAATGTGCAATTCTGAAATTCAAGGAACCAGTCTGAACTGGAGGTACAAAATTGGGACACAGAGCAATCATTAAACAATATTGTATATAAATGAAAGCAGGCTGGGCCTTGGAAGCTATACATTATTGAGAAGTGAAAAAGAAAAGGAACAACTAGCAGGAACCCAGAGGAGGGGCAACTAACTCCATAGGAAATGAACTCTGAATGATATCCCAGAGACAAGACACTGTTTGTAAAAAAAAAAAACGCCATTGCAGAAGGTTTTGAAATGTAATATTGATATGTTGAAGAATTTAAATTTTTGATTCATGGAAGGCTGATATTAAATGGTCCACATATTTTCAGGAAGAGGTTCACAATCTCATTGAGCAAGTCAAAGATTTGGAAAGTTATTTGTACAGAGATAAACACATTGTATTAAATAGGTAAGGTCTTATCTACGTGGGTTCAATTGGAGAAACTAATAAAGTATTTTCTAAATAACTTATAAAAGGTTTGGAAAGTTAATGGTTCACAAAATAAAAACTTTACAAAACAAATTATAAAAGCAAATACGGGAGACACCAGTGGCTTAACCTGGGAAGCTGAGATTTGAGAATGCACAGTTTGTAGCCAGTCCTGGTAAACTAATCTGAAAATCACTAATCACCAAGAAAACAGGAAAAAGGTGGAGGTGGAGGCATGGCTCAATTGGCAGAGTGCCAGCCCTCAACTGAAAAGTCAAGTAAGAGAAGAGCAGCAGCAAGAGGTCTTGAGTTGAACCCTAGCACAGGAGGGGGAGAGAGAGCAGTGGAGGGGGAATGTTGTCCCTTGCTGCCCCCTGCTGGTCAGCATTGTGAACATCAAACTCTAGGGAGAATTTTTTTAACATCATTTCTTTTTTATTATTATTAATAAGTTTTTTTATTGTGAAAATACTGTACAGAGGGATTACAATTACAAGACAAAGGTAATAATGACATTTCTTATCAAGCATTGTTGCCTCCTCCTTTTTTTTCCCCTTACCATCCCTTCCCTCCCATCTCCCTGCCCCCCTTCCCACTTCAAATGTAATGTTCATTTCTCAACATAAAGTCTTGTACATCTCATTGTCGCAATCGGTTCACCTGTATCCCTATTTAAACAATTTGTGTTTTCCCTTCCTTCCACAAATTATACCAACATTAAATACAGTGAAAACAGGGGTTCTACCGAGGGGGAGGGACATACAAAGAAACAAAAAAAAATCATCTAATAAATATGTTAGAAACAATCGCGAGAAAGAAAAACAATTTGAGTCCTTATCTTGGGGTTCAGAGAATTACTGTTCCTCATCTGTCCTCTTTCAAAATACCTTGCATATTTTGCCCTTCATAAGTTATTTAGCACAATAACTGGTTTCAGCAACTCAGAATATCACATCCATGAAGGACCTGTCCCATCATTTTCATATAATAAAACAAGTCCACTCAGAAAATTGGCTTAGTTCATCAAACTTGATTTCTAGTGCTCTTCCCATCATTTGGATCCACCATCCCACCACCTGCTTCCACCTATAGTCACAGACTCCTCAGAAGCCATGTTATACATGGCGAGTACACGAAGGTTTTCACTGCTAGCTGATGGCATAGCTGTCATCCAGGAACTACACACAGTACCAGAAAGACAACAAAACAAACGGCTTCAAA